AGGAGAGAGGCATACGATATGGTACAGAGAATTTATAAGCATTATAATATCAATACTAATATGATATGATTGATATGACTCAATAGACATATCAATACTATTTAATTATTAATATTTAATATTTATATAACTATTGATATGTCTATTGAGTCATATTAATAATTATATCAATATTAAATATTAATAATTTAATAGTATTAATAGAGAATTTTTAAAAATTAATTTGAAAGAGAGGAACGTCGATCACTTCGAATATGTTTTAATATAGAGAAGCTGCGTTCGACATTTGCTGTACCTGCTCGCAATTTTTACAATTTAANTAAATATTAATAATTTAATAGTATTAATAGAGAATTTTTAAAAATTAATTTGAAAGAGAGATAGATAGAGAGAGAGAGAGAGAGAGAGAGAGAGAGAGAGAGAGAGAGAGATAAAGAGAGAAAATACAAACTACTCATACAATACTTATGTAAAATATATTTGTTTAATAGTTAAATTTCTAGTTTTATAAAATTCAATGTAAACTATGTAATATTTTTGCTATTTTATATCAATTTGTAGACAATGACTTCTAACGAGGTTCCCATAACGTTGGCTTCTATAGCTCCAATTAACGCAAATTCACAAGTAATATCAATTCCAAGCATCTCAACCGCGTCAACATATAAAGTTGCAACTGATGCTACAACTAATAATTCCCACGTTAAAGGCGCATATCGGGAAAGCCGTTCAGCTAAAAACCCATTTATAAATTCTATGCAAAACAAGGCATATGATGATATGCCTCAGATAATAATTGATTATGGACACATAAGTGAACCGAATGACAATTTATTGTTATCTGAGCAAATCTTGAATACTTCACCGCAAAGTATTCATCATGAATCCGCTATCACTATAAAGCCAAGTTCTACTATGGTAATGGTGAACGCAGAAACGCTAACAGACAAAATCAATTGTAAAGATTGTGCATTACATCTCAAAAAAATAAATGACTTAGAGTCAATAATTCGACAAGCTAATATTGTCTGGACTCAAGCCTTACCATCAAGTAGTTTGCAGTCTTCAATCAGCAACTCACCAACGGACGGCATAGTTATCGAACCAATTGCTATAACTGGTATTGTTAAAGCAAATTGTTTACGTTTATATATTTGTTTTCAAATTGTAAGTTTAATTAATTTTATAGAAACCTTACCATCAAGTAGTTTGCAATCTCCAATCAACAACTCACCAACGGACGGCATAGTTCACGAACCAATTACCCTAACAGGTATTGTTAAAGCAAATTGTTTACGTTTATATATTTGGTTACAAATTTTAAAGTTTTAATTAAATTCATATAAATAATATATTAACAATTATAATTAGGTATACTTCCTAAACGTTTAATTTATAAAATGGGACTACGGAAGCGCATAACTTCATATTACCAAGCGAATTTGAAAAATCCTTTACTTATCAATCAAATTTTGGCTATTGTTAAGAGATATGCTTTAAATGTTGCTAAGTACGCTAAAAATACAAAGTCTCTTGCTTCCGAAGAAGCGTTTACTGCTTATCAATTTGCTTCTATCAAGGAAGTAATAGAATTGTCGGGAAATGAAGGATACAAGGTGACTTTTTATTATTGGAAACGGTGGTCAATTATCTGCCCGGTTTGTGGTTTTGTGTTCTGCAATTTCAAAGGACCAGAGGATCGACTCGAGGATCACAAGAATAAAAAAGAAGGTCACATTATGCTATCGGACTTAAAACCAGTTATTGTTGATTTTTATAAAATGGATTAATTCGTCACTATTAAATTATTAAATTTGTTGCTAATGTATAAACAAAAATTATATTTTTCTATTTGTTAAATAATTATTATGTTCATACTACGTTATATTTTCAATTTTAATAATAAATTACGTACATTAAAAACGTTAATTTTACAAAACAAGAGTTTAAAGTGAAATAAATTGTAAAATATAATTTGGATTTTAAAATGGATTTCATATTCTTAATTAGCGTCAAATTCTACATCGATTTAATATATAATATTAATAAATTACGTAAATAAATATTTTCGAATAAAAATGTTTTAAGTCGAATAAGTTCAAAAATATTATAGATACAAACAAATGATTATCAAATTGGTGTTTAGCGTTGAATTTCACATAAGATTAATAAAAAATATACGCGTGAACCACTTTTTGATTTTCACCAATTATTGTACGTAATGGTGACACAAGAGACGACAGAGACGTCGAGAGTCGCTTTGTATTGTGTTACCCCCATTTTAGGGGGAAAACGCGAAAGCTTTAGCCTGGTTTGATAACAATCGCTCAGATTTACAGACAATTGGAAACAATCGCCCGAAAGTGTCCAAACATTGAGACCATTGATTGCAACCAAAACCGCGTATTTCACGGATCCGTTCCTAAAGTGTTGACAATATTTCGTAATAATTGTCAAAATTTACGAGAAATTTACTGTAAATTAGATTCAGATGATCACCAATTGGTCCCACAATTTGCACCAATGATAACACGAATAGGCGTTAACCATCCGAAGGCTTACCATTCACTGATTCATTGCCACCGATTGTCTCATTTGTGAGTCTCCCAATTGCCGGATGTCTTTCACACAACTTCTGGACAACTATTGGCTAAAAATTTACATACATTTGCATTTAATCACAGTTTGACTGCGAGTGGAGTACTCTTTGAGGCATTCATTGCCGGCAATCAGACCCTCAAAAGTCTGACAATATATCCGTCGAGTGATTATCCAAACAATATGAATGAAGTGACCGAACAATTGTCACGATTACCACAATTGCGTGAATTGTCACTTCATTTACATCTAACCGATAGCCAGACATTGGATTCATTAAGATTTTGTCCGCAATTAAAACGATTTTTATTAAATCTCAGCGAAGAAATCAATCAGAAAATGTTGGATCCGTTAAGACACTGCCGACAGTTAACACATTTGACTATACGTTCAATCGGACCTAAATTTGACACAAATTCACTATTTATTTGTGGCAATCATTGGCCACGACTTCAATACCTATCCCTTGAAGACTTGGATGGCGAAAGAGGTATTGAGTTTTTGGGTCACATCTCAAGACTTCCAGCGCTTCAGACGCTTGTAATCCAGGGTTTGAATGGATTTCTAAGAGATAACGATTTTAAGGATCTGTTGGCCAGAAGTCCTAAATTAAAGAACATTACTATCTCTGCATTTTCTCGATCTTTTAGTCGTAAATTTTTTTTAGTGATTTCATTATTTAATATTGCATTCAATTTCACTTTTTTTTGTCTTAAGATATGACCCAAGAGTTGACACGTTTGAAGACATCACTCGAGACTAGAGATGACGGCAATGAAGACAATACACAACAGGTATTTGACAAACAATTAACCGTTTATTGATTTTTTAATTAATTTTTTACATTTTAGACACAAATCTATGCGAAGAACTCTTTCGATCGTTTCGGCGATGACTTGTGTGGACTTCTGTTGTCTTATTTTCCACTCAAATACCGGTTTCACTACGAATGTGTGTCCAAACAGTTCCAAAAGAAAATCTTCGCGAGTGTTGTCGACATTGATATCGATTATAAATTCAGATTACATTTGAGAAACACAACAATTACTCAAAAGTTGGTCGCAATTGCCATAAAGTGTCCAAACATTGAAACCATTGATTTTCGAAGACTATATTTTGATGAACGTATTCCCCAATTGTTGGCCATATTTCGAGACAATTGTCGGCATTTGCGGGACGTTTACTGTGAATTGAGTTATGGGAACAACCAATGGATCCAAGACTTTGGACAACTGGTCACACGAATCGACGGACCCTTTTCATCGATAAAACAGGCACTCATTCATTGCCACCGATTGTCTCATTTAAAGACATCTGAGTTGTCGAAAGTTTTTGCCGACAATTCCGGACAACTGTTGGCAAAGAATTTGATTGAATTTGATTTCAGTTATGATTCGGACGAAAGTGAAGGACTGGATGATAATGAAGAGGTGGTCAACAATGAGGAACTGTTGTCACGATTCCTGGCGGAGAATCAGTCCCTCAAAAGTGTTTCCGTCAATAATTATAGACATGATATGCAAAACGATATCACAGAACTGGTCCACCAATTGTCACGATTACCACAATTACGGCAATTGACACTTTATTTGGAGGGCATCGGTGGCCAACCTTTGGATTCGTTTACACTATTCCCGCGATTAAGACGTTTAATCATATTTAGCTCTCAACCAATGGATGCGAAACTATTGGATCCGTTGAAAGACTGCCAACAGTTAAGACATTTAGAACTCAGTTCACTAAAAATGGACACAAATTGGTGGTTGAATTGTGACAAACATTGGCCTCGACTTCAATACCTATCGATTCGTGACAACAATTACAAGATTGAGACCTTTGAGCACATCTCAAGACTACCGGTTCTGCAGACACTGGCAATCAATTGCATCAGTAAATGTCTCAAAGATAATGATTTCGATGACCTGTTGTCCAGAAGTCCTAAACTAAAGAGCATTAGAATCGGTGGATATCTAAGAACTTATTGTCGTTGAAGTGCTTTAAATGTAAATCCATTTCTAAAATAACATTAATTTTATGTATTTTATTTCATATTTAAGGCAATAATTTAAATGCTGACAAAATTATATATAAATGTTAAGCAAATGTACGGTAATACATATTTATGTTCACAAATAAAACAATTTTCGCAAATTATAAATATTTCAATCAATCCATTGAGACTTCACTTCAGTAATGAATTGTTGAAACAATTTCTACAAAAAATTGAATTCAAAATGTATGAATAGTTATGGAATATGAGTACAGTTTGTATGCATTTGTTGTTCAAATATTTTAAATAAACTTTTGCCGCTTTATAACAATACAGTCGACTCTCGTTATTATTTCAACACTTATTGTTATTTACATTCAATTTATGTACGATTTTATAATTTGTTTTGATTTGAAAACAATATTTAACAAACGTTTCGTACAATCAGTTCATCACAGCTTAAGAGATGTCACAAATCGTGAAATCAATGAAGACATCACTCGAGACCACAGATGACGGCAATGAAGACAACATTCAACAGGTATTTGACAAACAATTGACTGTTTATTGAGTTTTCATTATTTTTGTTAAACATTTTAGACACAAATCTATGCGAAGAAGTCTTTTAATCGTTTCGGTGATGAATTGTTTGGACACATATTGTCTTATCTCACATTCAAAGACCGATTCCAATACGAATGTGTGTCCAAACGCTTCCAGAGAAGAATCTTCGAGAGTGTTGTGTATATTGATATTTATGCCTTCAATGGATTCATTAGACAAAACACAACAATTGCTCAAACGTTGGCCACAATCGCCAGAAAGTGTCCAAACATTGAGACCATTGATTCCATACAATTGAGAGAATTTTATGGATCCGTTTACAAAGTGTTGACAATATTTCATAATAGTTGTCAATATTTGCGTCAAATATACTGTCTGTTACGTTCAGATTATTATCAATTGATCCAACGATTCGGACCAATGATGACACGAATACACGTTTACGATCCGCTGGCAAAGCATTCCCTCATTCAATGCCACCGATTGTCTCATTTGCGAGTCTATCACCACTTGTCTGATGTCTTCGACACCACTTCAGGGCAACTATTGGCCAACAATTTACACACCTTCTCATTCAATCACAGTTTGACTGCGAGTGGAGTACTCTTTGAGGCATTCATTGCCGGCAATCAGACCCTCAAAAGTCTGACAATATATCCGTCGATTGATTGTTCAAAGAATATGAATGAAGTGACCGAACGGTTGTCACGATTACCACAATTGCGTGAATTGACACTTCATTTACATCTAACCGATTGCCAGACATTGAATTCATTGCCGTTTTGTCCGCAATTAAAACGATTGAAATTAGATCTCAAAGAAGAAATCAACCCTCAAATGTTGGATCCGTTGAAACACTGCCGACGGTTAACACATTTGACTATACATTCAATCGGACCTAAATTTGACACCAATTCGCTGTTTAATTGCGGTAATCATTGGCCACGACTTCAATACCTATCGATTGAGGATTGGTTTTACGAGAGAGGCGTCGGGTTTTTGTCTCACATCTCGAGACTACCGGCACTGCAAACGCTTGTAATACATGGTTTGAGTGTATGTCTGAGAGATAATGATGTCTATGATCTGTTGGTCAGAAGTCCTAAACTCAAGAACATATATATCCGTTACTTTTTTCGACCTTTTTGCCGTAAAAGTGATTTTTTAGTGA